TTTGGTAAAGGGTGATGTTTTTGGTGATGTTTTTGACTCCCAAGTTGCTAGTACAACATTTTAACTTAAAATTTTTACTTTTAACATTCATTTTGTGTTTAACATTGGTTTGTGGGACGCTGCTGTGCGCAATTGGACGCCACGTTTGGCCCACAAAACATACAGTTATTTCACTTTAACAGTATATTCTGCAAAGTGCTTTGAAACGTCTCAACAATGTGAAAAGGATCTATATCAAATGCAAGGATTATTATTATTATGCTATTATTTTTAGCTTAACTTTAAATTTTGACTCTTAACATTACTTTTGGGCCTCGGTCTGGCCTGAAGCTTGATATGCGGACTTCCACAGCCTGACGAAAGACATTCTGGATCCGTGTAAGACTGCTGCTATTTTGACCCCAATTATTTTGCATTATTCCCCCTGAAGTGTGGCAAGCCTTGTAATTTAGTTTAACCCTATATGTTCTGAATCTCTTCTGCATATTCTGAAATCTGCATATAACATTTTCTATCAGAAAGCTGAAAGTATTTTTTTAAATGATAATCCTCGCATTTGATATAGCGCCTTATCATGTCTTCGAGACAACTCACGAACCGCCAATCGACTAGCAACTGGGTTCCTACTTACTGCTAGTTTTACAGAGGCATGTGGAGGAAGGAAGCTTACCTAAGGTTTCGCCCCGTCCAGGAATCGAACCCAGGTCAAGCACTCTGGAACCCTATCCTGCGTGAGGGGCGCTACATAAATGCAAAATGTTGTCGTTATGACCTTGAGTTTTCGAGGCGAGTCCTCTAACCACTGTAGTACAGGACTCCACTTACAATCAGAGGTGCACAGAATTTTTTTTAAAAATTCCAAAACACTTTGTTTACAGGAAATAATCCAGCTGTTAAAGGGTTAATCAAACGTCTTCAACAGCTTCCTTCATAGACATTAGATTGAGGAACATTACAAAGAAAGGAGGTTGTAGAAGAGCGAGCAGTGTTCTGTGCAGAGTGTTTGGTGAATTACAATAGCGTTGAACTGAATGGACTCCTTTCTGGGAGACGTTTAGAGAGGGAAAACAGGGAACACAGCTGCAGTGGTCATGTGTAGATTGCAACTGTAAAGGAAGTATGACCCCATGGAGCCTTTTAAAATAATAATTAAACCTTTTGCCCTCCGCTTCCTCTGTTAGATGCAGCACTGCAGAGCCTTGTGCTAACGACGTGTAATGCAGTACAATATCAGCTTACACTGTTGTTTGCCTTTGTTTTTCCTATCTGCATTTCTCTGGATTACATTTTCCTGCTTTGTGTGACTTACATCCCTAAGCAGACCTCTGTAAGTTACCTTGGGATAATTATGACCATTATACAGACAGCTCAGGAAAACACCTGTCTGCTTGAGAAATGCAGGATCTGATTGTGTTTTTACCCTCACGCACAACACACTGAAAACAATTTTAAAAGCACTGCAATGAAAAGCTGTATCTCACAATATTACGAGCGGTTTGGCCCATTTGATATCAACCTTACCATTTTCTCATTATAGCATCAAGCTATTTTTAAATGACTCCAGTGTCCTGGCCTCAACCCCTCCCTTGTAACCTGTTCCTGTCAGTTAATTACTCTCTGGGTTTCGCACATTTCTGCTGTCGGCACATCCAAAACTACTGGTGCAGGTTCTCATTCTCACTCCCATTTAAAATCTTGTTTACCTCACAAGATTGGTTTGGATGAAGTAGGTCCTTCGGTCAATTTGATCTCTTGCTTTCAGAATGGTCACTCTTTCTGTTCTCCAAACAATCTTTGGGTTTTTTTCTTATTCTCCCTTTTTATTTTCTTGTCGATCCATTTTGCAGCAGTTTTGTTTCATTTCGGTGTATCCGCGTAAGGTTTTTGAAGGATATTTTCAGTGCCTTGAGATGTCCTCCTGACGCGAAAGGCTCTTAAACGTAATTTGTTGTGGTTTTTGATATCCTCAACTGATTTGTTCAAGTAATGTCTCCCAGTCTGTCACTTAGTTAAAGCGCTCTGAGATGCTGTCCGGTGTGAAGGGCGCAATATAAAAATAAGTTGTTGTTGTTCAGCACTCGGAGTTCAGCTGTGAAGTTTGCCCAGCTAAAGTTGTATACTAAAGTTTTGCTGTGCACTTGTGCTGATTCCAAACCAAGTTGAATGTTTTTGAGCTACTGTCACTGTTGCCTAATGAATCAATGACTTCTGCTCCCTGAATGGTGTCTGGGTCACTGAGTAGAACAGAGTCAAGGTAGGAACTGCCCCTTATAGAGCAGTGAGTCAAGAAGCAGTCATGCAGTACATTGACAAGATCAGAGTCCTTCCCACGTGGGAATTCCCGGTTTATGCTGGGCTGATTGAAGTTTCCTATGAGTACTTTTTCTCACTACAGTGACAAGTCATTCTCCCTACCTTGGCCTGGTAGTTTGTAGCAAACCCCAAATGTTAGTGAGGTCTGTTTTTTGCTGAGGATATCTAACCAGAGAATTTCATACCATTGATCAATAATAATAATAATCCTTGCATTTGATATAGCGCTTTTCACGTCGGGAGGACGTCCCAAAGCGCTTCACAGAATAGACTGTAAAGTGAATTGACTGTATATTTGTGGGCGAACGCGGCAGCCAATTGCGCACAGCAATGTCCCACAAACAGTCGTAGATTGAAAATCACCAATTTATTATTGTTTTTGGAGGATTATTAGGCGTGTGGAGTAAGGAAACTTGCCCAAGGTTTCGCTCTGCCTGGAATTGAACTCAGGTCTCTCACTTGCAAAGCGAGTGCTCTAACCACTGAGCTACAGGACTCCACAATCCCCTGTTGCTGGCTCAACTATCTTAATTTCTCACATGTGCTTTACAAGGATGGATTTATGGAAATCTCTCCACCTTTCCTATACCCCCTGTCTTTGCTGAGCACCTGTACAGTTGTAAATTGCATTCACTTCCATCATCCTAACTTAACCATGTCTTTGTCATTCCTACCACATCAATAGGCTCTATTTGAAAAGAAAAGGATGTTTCTCCCGGTGTCCTGGCCAACAAATCCCCCAAATAAAATTGGTCATTTTTGTAGGACACTGCTGTGTGCAATTGGCTGCCCCATTTCGCCCGCATAATATACAATCAATTCACTTTACAGTATATTCTGTGAAGCGCTTTGAGACGTCTTGAAGACTTGATAAGGCGCTATATCAAATACAAGGATTATTATTATTATTGCTGTGCGCAAGCTGGCTGCCACATATCACCCACAAAATGCAGTCAATTCACTTTACAGTATATCCTGTGAAGCGCTTTGAGACGTCTCGATAGCGTGATAAGGCGCTGTATCAAATGCAAGGATTATTATGTATTTTTGGAGGATTTTATTACCCATTTTATTCTTAACCTCAGCCTTTCCTATCGCTTCCTGATGATTAGTAGGCCTCCTTTCTGTCTACTGTATTACAGAATTCCACTCTCCCCTTCCAAATCTCGCTTAATTGGAATGAAATTCCTGTAATTACTTTATGCCAGCCGATTAGCTCCCCCATTAGTTAAGTGCAAGCCACCCTTCCTATCAACATTTTGTCTACTTGATAAAGTTCTTCAATTATCTACGTAGTCACTTCTCACAGCGCACGAGGTTTTCCTAACCAATCATTGAAGTTAATTTATTCTGCTAGTCTTTCCACATTTCCAGGCAATACAGTGATTTTGTTCAATGTAGCATGGGGGCGGGGGTGGCAATTGTGACCAATGCTGTGATAATTATCATTTCCTGCCTTATGATGTTTGACCCCCCCCCAGCTGATTCAGTCACAATTATTAGACGCAGAGCCATGCAGGATGGCCATTGAATAATAATAATCCTTGCCTTTGATATAGCGCTTATCACATTGTAGAGCTATCTCAAAGCGCATCACAGAATATATTGTAAAGTGGATTGACTGTATACTCATGTGGGCGAAATGCGGCAGCCAATTGCGCGCAGCAGTGGTCCACAAACAGCCCTGGATTGAGTGACCACATTTTTTTTTGAGGGATTATTACCCCTGGAGAGCGATCCGCTAATTGACTAACAACCGGATTCTTACTTACAGCTAGGTGAACAGAGACGTGTGGAATAAGGAGATTTCGCCTCGCCCAGGAATCAAACCCGTGTCCTTTCGCTTGCGTGGCGAGCGGGCTAACCACTATATTACGGCAACATTTTCTGTGAAATGATAATTATCACCGAGGATAATGGCCAGATCGTGATGGGTGATCACAAATTTTTCATATCATTAACTCAGCACCATTGAAATAAATGTAAAAGACATCTTAAGTTTTGATGCCCACATCCTATCCCACGTTTGCTAAGCATTCAAGACACACTATTTGATCAGGAAGAAACCAGCTGGATTCCATTCCCAAGTTGAGGCAGATTCTGGTCGTCAGGTCCCTTAGATAAAAATCACTTCATGGCTGTTTGTCGGATGTTGCTGTGCACAAATAGGCTGTTATGTTCACCTGCAAATACACAGTCTGCGTAATGCACAGGAAATCATGTGAAGAGCTTTGAGACTTTTTCCCCCCTTGACACAAGTCGCTATTCCAAATGCAAGGATTATTTATTTATCAGGTGTGTTTGTAATATTGTGCAGCACGATAGTTCGGGAACTGAATTGAAAAGTAAAAACTGGCGATCTTCAATAATAGCAAGCGGGTCCTTAATGGAAGCTGTCTTAGAGGATGCCAACTCTGTCGGAAAGTAATTGCAGGAATATATAGCAGAAGAGAATACGAGAGAAAACTCATTAATTCGTTTGGTGGGTGCGAGTCATCACCTCAAAGAAAAATGGGTTGTCTACAGATTAATAATGTTTTATTCATGTTTATCTGATTTCTTTGCTGCTTACCATAATATATCACAATGACAGATGCTTGCTTCTTTTTGCTCTCCAAAACCTGTATGAATGTATTTACAGACAATACATCCAGTAAATCAAATGCTTTTTTCTGCTGTTCTCTTAGGCACGACAAGGCCACCTAAGGAGGGAGAGGTTCCCGGCGTTGACTACAATTTTGTCACCGTGGATGAATTTATGGAACTTGAGAAAAGCGGTTCACTGCTAGAAAGTGGGACTTATGAAGGTAATATTATTCTTTACAGCTAGTACTGCCAAGGGTATACGATACAATACAATGCACGCTTTCGTAGCGCCTTTCACGGTGGGAAGATACAACAACAACAACAACTTGCATTTATACAACGCCCTTCATGTGGGGTAGCGTCCCGGAGAGGTTGGTTGTCTCGTAGGAACATAGGAACAGGAGTCGGCTATTCAGCCCCTTGAGCCTGCTCCACCATTCTATTAGACCTGTATCTCAACTCCAATTCTCCGCCTTTGCCCCACGGCCCTTGATACCCTGATTATACAAAAATCTATCCACCTCAGTCTTGAAAATGTTAATCTCGTCTGAAAGTACTTGACAATTCTGGGTTGGCATTGGAGCGGGGGGGGGTGCGTGGAGGGGTTAAGGAGGACGTTTTGAGACTCACCTTGAAAAAGTGGGGAGAGGGAGCAAATTGGAGGGATGGTTGTACATTATGCGCTGACTGCTCAGGTACAGATATATCCCACCGTTGAGATGCAGTGTATATGCAATGCAGTATAGTTTCACTTAACATTGCGGTTAGGTTCGTAATATCCAGTAGCAAAAGCTGAAATGCCTCACTATGATGACAAGGTGTTGCTTATTCACGGCTCATCTTGTGTTCATTTAGTAAATTAACAATCGATCCTCCACAGCGTAATCACAACAAAAGCAGAAGATTAAAAGTCCTGATATGAAGCCCTATAAGCAGCTTTCAACACTGATCAGCCCTTAATATGTTGTCTGTGTGCCTGTGGGAAGAGAAGGAAATAAGCCTGTTAATTGCAAATGAGCCGATGCTTACAGCATTGGCACTGACGGCAATGCAATTGCTCCCTAGATACATTCTGCACCACATTCCCAGAACAAAGAATGACTATTTTCCCACTCTTCAGGTGAATTGTGATGAACAAAATGGTAGCAGAATAAAAAATATATTTTTGCAGCTTTTTTGTAGGCAAACTGTTGAGATATCTATTTGTGGAAAAAAAAATCAGCACATATATTTATAGCTCAAATGTTGTTGTTAATATTATTGACCGTGTATTTCGCCCACAAAACACACAGTGAATCCACTTTACAGTATATTCTGTGAAGCGCTTTGAGATGCCTGAACGATGTGGTAAGGCGCTACATCAAATGCAAGGATTAATATTATTATTGCTCAGTCTGTTTTGTTTTAAAAGGTGAACATGAACAAGTATTAGTCAAAATCTGCTGTACAGAACCCCAGATAATAATAATAATCATTGTTGCAATTGATAAAGAGCCTCACCACATGGTTGAGATGTGTGAAAGCGCTTCACGGGATATACTGTAAAGGGGATTGACTCTGTATGTTGTGGACAAAATAACAGCATCCTTGCATTCGATATTGTGCCTTATCACGTCTTCGAGACATCTCAAAGCGCTTCACAGAATACACTGTAAAGTAAATTGACTGTATATTTGTGGGCGAAACGCGGCAGCCAATTGCGCACAGCAGCGTCCCACAAACAATCGTTACTGTTTATAAGTACTGAGCATAGAACTGTTATTGATTCCGACCTCTCGCAAATTCAGCATTTAAAGCTCTGATATTCTTTGGTTGAACATGAACGTGTCACCACAGTAACTTAAGAGTAGATAACTTAATAATGAACATTCCACCACACATGCGGTGGACCAGGTGAACGTAACACACGTGTCTTATTTCGTGCAATGTGGTATTTATACGGCGTAAGATAAGCACCCAAGCAGAGCTGCTTTCTTGAGATTTGCTGCCAGGGTTAAAATGAATCAAACCCACTGTGCGTTCACTCTCACCATCATCACCTAGCAGCGACTGTAACCATGGCAACTCCATCCGCATGGGCTTTCTCGAATGTCGGCATCCTCACTGCCAGGCAAAGTAGGACTTCAATACCCTGGGCTGCTGGTGCTCTGGGATTCACTCTACAGTATTTACAACACGGGGTGGATTCCACCACCAGCACCAACAAATTACACTTGTATAGCGCCTTTCACGTCCAGTGGACGTCCCAAGGCGCTGGTGGTTGGGATCAGGAGGGCGGGGAAGGTAAGGGTAGGAGGGTGACCGAAGGGCAGTTGAAGAGGAGAGTCTTGAGGACTTTGAAGGTGAGGATCAGGATCTTGAACTGTATCCTCTGAATGATGGGGAGCCAGTGGAGCCAGGCGAGGATGGGGGTTGATAAGGTCGCGGAGCCTAGAGCGGGAAAGGACACGGGATACAGAGCTCTGGTTGATCTGCAGTCTGTGGAGGGTAGAGTTGGGGAGGCCGACAAGCAGGGAGTTTACGTGGTTGAGCCTGGATGTGATGAATGAGTGGCAGTCTGGGATGAGAGACAGTGACAAAGCCGGGCAATGTTGCGGAGGTGGGGAAAGGCAGAGCGGGTCATGGCACAGATCTGAGGGATGAAGGAACAGTTGAGAGTCGACAGGAGACCAAGGTTCCATATTGGCTTCGTGAGGTGTAGAGTGTATCCATGAAGGTTGATGCTGTCAGCGCCTGAGATATGGAGGCGCTGCCAGGAGCCAAGCAGGAGGGCCTCAGTCTTGTTGATATTCAACTGGAGGAAGTTTGCTCTCATCCAGGACTTGTCACTATGTAAATGTTGAAAAGGAGGGGACCGAGGACAGAGCCCTGAGGGATATCATACGTGACGGTGCGGGGCCTGGAGGAGAAGCCGTTAATGGAGACGGTGGGAGAGGTCGGATTTGAACCAGGAAAGGGCAGGTCCATGAAGATTGAGCTGAGAGGAGAGGTGGTGGAGGAGGATAGAGTGGTCGCCAGTGTCGAAGGCGGCAGAGAGGTTGAGGAGGACAAGGAGGCAGAGAGAGCCCTGGTCGCAGGTGGACAAAATGTCATTAGTGACTTTGACCAGGGCTGTTTCCTGCACAACTGGTTACCAGACAACAACAACTGAGCAACTAAGTAAGGGACTCAGGGTTTCACTCAAACACATCAGTTGAGGATGAATGGATATCATCAACAACAACAAATTACATTTGTAAAGCACCTCTCACATCGGTACGATTTGCCAAAGCTCTTGACGGGTCCTGAGACCCCAAGTTCCACCTAGCCTGTAAAACCAAATCGCACAGGGTTGCGGAAGTTTCTTCAATTCACTCGCGATTTGGAAGCTGCGTTTTTTTTTGCACAAACTGCGGAAACCCGGCTTCCAACTTAAGACTGATTGAATTGAATCATTTTTCCGTATCTTAAGTTCTAAGACAAAATAAATGTTCGACCTCGTAGTTGCCTTGATTTCGTAGAAAGGGTCCAGGTAAGCCATTGGTTAAGAAATCTACCTGATAATGTGACTTCAGTGCCACCTCACTAACCTTTCAGAAGGGCTGCCTACCACACTGAAAGATTAAATGGGGCCTTGGATACCCTGAACTAAATTTACTAATATTTGGATACACAGAATCAAGTTTAAAAGTGTCAGTTAAATTAAATCAAGCCAAACCTCTCCACCATCCTGGTAACCAGGAAATGGTTACCTGCTGTGCTGAGGAGGGTTGCATCGTCAGCAGTGTTGTCCTTCAGACGAGATGTTAAACCGAGGCCCTGTCTACCTTTGGCAGTACTTAAGAAGAGAAGAGAGTTTCTCCCAGTGTCCTGGCCAGCAAGCCCCAAGATAGACAATTACTTTTTGTCTGTTTACGGGACATTACTGTGCACAGATAGGCTGCTGCATTCACCTACAGAGTGCACAGTCACTACCCTTTATCAGTGACTCTGTCAAGCACTTTTTTGTTTTTTGTTCAGCGGGTGTCTGACAACTGGGTGTCTGACAACTTAATCACAATGTTTAAGAGTATCCAAACCAAACTGAGAATTCTCTGCATCTCACCTGGAAATCCCAGAGATAGATTGTTGGAATGGAATAGTCTCTTCCTGGAGGGATGTATCCTGCTTACCTAATTCCAGAAAGTATTAGGCGCAGGTTGGTAAGAGCCAAGGCTTGGGGACCCCAGAGTGTGCTTTGGGGTAACTGCTGGAGTCTAACCAGCTAAAGCTGCATAGCTTGCCATGAAAGGTGCTTTATCAAATGCAAGAATTATTATTATAGTTTCTAGCTATAATATAATAATAACAACCGTATAAACCATTTACACCCACACGATCGTAATGGAGTACAGCCTATAACGTTCATTCCACTCATTGCAGCCTGTATTATTTGATGGAGACTGGCATGTAAGTCACTCAATAAGTCAATCAATACCTTCTGGTGCAGTAACCTCATACAACACTAATTCTTTCCAATACTTTTTGAGTTTGAAATTATACCCACAGATATTTATGTGCAATAAATCCTGCCACGTGACTTCGTGGAGTCCTGTAGCTCAGTGGTTAGAGCACTCGCTTTGCAAGCGAGAGACATGAGTTCAATTCCAGGCAGAGGGCGAAACCTTGGGCAAGTTTCCTTACTCCACACAGAGCCTAATAATAATCCCTCCAAAACCAAAAACAATAATAAATTGGTCATTTTCAATCTAAGACTGTTTGTGGAACATTGCTGTGCGCAATTGGCTGCCGCGTTCGCCCACAAATATACAGTCAATTCACTTTACAGTGTGTTCTGTGAAGCGCTTTGGGACGTCCTCCCGACGTGAAAAGCGCTATATCAAATGCAAGGATTATTATTATTATAAATAAGTTAGACTGAATTTTATTTCACCAAACCTGAAGTGACTGGCTCTTGAGGCAGTTGTGTTTAGTTACATTTAATTAAGTTTTCCAGGTTCGATTTTGTTTCCTCCTGTGTGCCAAATTCCTGACCTCAGTTATACTATGTGGAAAAGAACAGAGGGGAGGCAGTGGAGCGGAGTTTTAGTAATGTTTTAAATCTTTTTTTCCATAATTTCACTTCTTTTTCTGCATGAGGGGCCAATAGGTGATGGTGAACAATAACAACTTGCATTTATATAGCACGGGGTAGCATCCCGGAGAGCTGAACAGTAAATCAGTAGTACAAAAAACATGTCTG